AATAATACTAAAAGTATTAATTATAGAACAGACATTGATAACTTAAGTAAAATATACTATAATTTAATTATATCTTATAAAAAATAATCATTTATAAATAACTTTAAAAAAATTTTTTTTTAATAATGTAAATTCCTTCTTTACCAACACAACCTGCAATCAACTACGCAACCCAACCTTTTTAATTAACCTTTCTGTCAAGAGAAGCACATTTCCATCGAAAAATGTGCTTCCACAAAATTTATATATATAACTAATTATTTGATAATAATTTTAAAAAAATTTTTCCAAAAAAAAGGAAAAATTAATTTTGAAATTAATATTTTATTTCTCAAGAGGTAAGAAAATTTTTCTTTACTCCTAAAACTGATCAACCTTAAAACATAACCTTAAAATATCTTAATTTCATTTTTCATCCTTTTTCAGATTTCTAATAAAAAATTTTATTATCCTTCTTGAAATCTTCTTATAACCTGTCCAACTAAAGGACAATGTTTGTATAAAAAACTCAAACTATTATTTATCCCCTGAAGAGGAACTATAATGTTCGAAACTAGTTGGGATCTTTGAAAATCTATATATATCTTTACAAACCGTATCTAGGCCTTTTCATTTCCGAAATTATATTTATTATATTTTAAGTATTTAAAAAATTAAATTAAATATCATTCCCAGAGTGTCAAGCAATTTTTTGTTTTTCTAATGAAAATCTTAAGGAAACTAGAATTTTGAAACATGATACTCTCCACTATTCTAAGTTAATATGTTTACTTTTTTTGCGAATATAATACGGGAATACTTAAATATTGATAATATAAGATGCCAAGTCTTGAAAATTATTTATTTATTTATTTTTTGGGGGGTGCCAATAAAATTGTACAAAATAGCAATTGCGCTATAGTCATTGGCATCCCCGTGCCAATAACTATAGATAAGCAAATTTCATTCATGTTCCAGTCATTGGCACCCTTTGTTTTCCGGAGAAAAGTGTGGTTAGATTCGATGTTTACGTTAAGATAGTAATGTCACATATGTAGAAAAGATGGAAATAAAGTAAGTAATTTTAACATTTATATATTAGAATTAATATATTTCCACTTAATTTTGGAGTGACTGTTAATAATACATATATGGACTTGATACAAAAGTTATAATTTGTATATATTAAAAAATATGATGCGTCGTATATAAACCTTTTATATACATGAAGTTCAATTAAAGTTATTAAGAAAATGTACGTTTATGTCAGATATATTTTCTTTTTTCGTAAAAGCATTACAAAATTGTTAAATTATTTTTTTAGGATGCCCAAAAATTGAAAAAAATGTTGATAAAGAAAACATTTCAAACATTAACAATGTGATTAATAACGAAAATGCTAATGTTCCTAAAAAAAGAGGTCGACCTCGAAAATTAAATGTTAATTAAATTAAATAATATAAAAATATATGTTACATAAACTGTTTCACTTTTATAGAGTACAAATGTTTCTGCAAAATTCTGGAAATGACATGAAAAATTAAAAATTATTTAAGATATGTACATATATGAATGCATAATATAAAATTATATTTATGTTTTATGTAAAGTGTTTTAATCGAGGGGGAATTTACTCAGGTAGTCAAGTGTACACTCTTCCTGTAATACTTGTGTAATATCGTGTAATATCGTGTAATATCGTGTAATACCGTGTAATAATGCGTTATTACGGTACTGTAATAACACAAAAAAGTCTGTAATATCTCTGTAATAATGTGTAATACTCTGTAATAACGTGTAATACTTAGTAATAAGGGTAATATGAGGTGTAATACCGGTAGTCAAGTGTACACGTTTTTAACTAGTAAATTCCCCCTCGGTTTTAATTAAAGTTTATGCAAAATATTACTACGTTGATTTGAATTATTTTTAAAAATACATAAAAAATAGCTTTTTATTTACTTGTAGGTATGAAAAATTTAGTAAATTTGAAGGTTATCTAGAAGGGTGCCAATAACTAGAACATAGGTGCCAATGACTGGTGCTTGCAGTGCCAATAACTGGAAATTTGTGTTAGCATATAATTATTTAACAATTATAATGTTGCAGTGTATTTTCATATTAAATTAATTACTGCATTGTATTCTGCATTAAATTTTGAATACATATGTCACAATTATTGTTGAATTAGATTAGTTTTTATATTTTAAATTAATTTTTGAAATTAAAATTTATCCTTAAGGTGCCAATGACTGGGTCAATTACCCTATCTGGGGGTTTTCGGGGTCGCTGATTATTAATCTGATGTCAGATTTTCAAAATTCAAAATGGCGGATTCAATATGTCGGTCAAAATTTTAAAAAGTTATTAAATTTTTTTTAAACCTTGATATCTAGGGGTTTTTTGGGTCGCTGATGACGAATCTGATGTAAAATTGTCAAAATAAAAAATTAATAACTTTTTAAAAATTTGATCGCCATATTGGATCCGCCATTTTGAATTTTGAAAATCTGACATCAGATTAATAATCAGTGACCCCGAAAATCACCAGATACCAAGTCTTATAAAATATTAATAATTTTTAAAAGATATCTTGTCACTTTTCATTTAGGGGTTGTTTTCACCCCTAAAAATCACAAACAACTTGGTCTAGCAAAACGGCCAGATACGGGTATTTTTTTGGGTTCTAGTTTCCGAAAATGTTAAATTTTTTTATGGGTAAAAAATTGTGTCGGACGGTGTTATTTGAATTTATCAGCTTATTTGTTTCTGAACACGTCAAAATTATTTAGATTAATTGATAGTTTTAAATCAACAAATTGAAATGAAAAATTACTCATTTCAATATAAGTTAATATATTGCGTTTTTGTTCATTTTTCATTAAAAATATAATATCAAAATTATTATTACTCTTTCTATCACAAATGAATTACAAAATAACTCTAATAATTTAAATTTTTTTGAAAATAGTAATTTCATTAAATAAAATTTTTAAAATATAAATAAATTGAAATATAATTTTTTCGTTAATTTTGCGTGCGAAGAATTATGAATATTAATCATTAAGTTTGATTTAACAATTGAATAAATGTCTCAAAAAATTTCAAAATGAATCAATAGTCAGTTTTTTGTAAAAAAAAAAAAAAAATAAAAAAAATGAACCTCTATTTATACAAGTTGAAAATGAAAAAAATAAAATAATATTGAAAAATAAATTAATTTTATGGTTCAACAATTTTTAACGTGAATTATTATTCAATTTAAAAATTGATTTAATTGAAGTTGGAGATCCATTTTTTTTTTTTTTTTTTTGAAATTATAAAAATATTAAACAATTTTTCATGAATAGAAAATATAATTACAAAATTAGTTGCATAAAAATTGAATTGATTATTTAAAATTTATTATATAATATATATTATTCAAGTTGGAAATTATATTAGAAGGTAAATTATTATTTTCATTAATTAAAAAATTTGAAAATCAACTTAAATTCAATATTTTGAAATTAAGAATGGAAGCATGGAAGCAACGTAGTCGACCGCGAAGTGATCGACGGAGGCGCTAGTACTATAATGTTTGATGTTGCTAATTATCATTCTCATATCAAAATTCAAAATGGCGGATCCAATATGGCAGACGAATTGATTTCAACATTTCTTAAAATAATGCCTAATTTTTAAATTAGACTTTAAAATAATTTATATATAATGTATTTTGTTCATGTCGAAGTATATATAGAATAGAAATGAATTAAAATAGATTTACATTGGCCTGACTCAACTACGATGAATAATAATCAAGTCTTGTTTCCTTGGAGGGAAAAACTAAAGAATCTCTTATAATGAATCGACACGTATACATCGTTAACCTGAGACGGAATTAATGTCGTGACCCGCGTGCACATACGACTGTTTGTTGCGTGTAATATGGATTGTATATTATATGGTGCCACGATAGTGAGGAACTTCACTTTATACTTTGCTGTCTTGGTGGGGTGCGGCAAACTGACGCCCTCGATTTCACTTTCATTATGAGGCCAACACTTCACTTACTCTCATTCACTCTCGTTTATACATGCATACGTGACTGCTATTGCATTCTCATTATCAACCGTAAAAATAGAAATGATCCCCAAATTAGGTGAAAACTAGACACGTTTTAATCTTATAAATTTATCAACAATTTTCATTATAGAAAAAATTTATCTCAATGAAAATGTACATCTCATTATTAAAATTTATTTTATTCTCAAAAAAAAATAATATGTAGATATATATTAATTAAAAGAAAAAAAAATGTTTTTAATATTATTACAAGAGCTTTCTGTAAATTATAATTTGAATTTTTTAATTAAAAAAAATGTTTCTAATTAACTAAATAAACTAATTTGTATTCTTATCTGTTTTTTTGTCCAAATTTAAATAAAAAAAAAAATTCTAATTTTGGAAACTTTGACTTTTATTCAAATTTTAATTTACAAATTTACAAATTACAAATTTTATATTTAAAAACGTATAGATTAACCTACTTTCAAAAATAGAAAGAAAAACGAAAACAATGTTTTTTTAAAAAAAAATATTTCAACACAAAAAAAAATCTTTATCTGAAACAGCGATATGTTTCTCTAGAATAGCGAAAACTTTCGCTGTTCCAGGTGAAGATTTTTTCCGTAGACAAAAAGGATCATCAGGCCAACTCTAAAACTTTTTGCAAAATACTTTTAATATTAGCAGATATGTAAAAGTAAAAAAAAAATCAGGACCAAAGTTAAAAAATATTAATTTGTTTATAAAAAATCGTTATTTTTTATATAAAAAAAACAAATTTTTTTTTCGTTATCACATTTTGAAGGTCGATGAAAAAGTGTAAATTTTTTTTTCTTGATAAAAATTTGTAAATTCAATATTTTTAGAGTAAAATGTCATTGAAATTAGGTCAATTTTTTAAAAATCCCGCAGATTTAAAAAAATTTATAATTCAAAAATTTGGACATTTATAAAAAAAAATAAAGGATAAATTACAATTTATAAATTTTTTTATTCATTAACCTATAATTTCAAAAAGAAAAATTACAAATGACAGAAATCTTAATTGGAAAAAACATTTTACAGAAAATTTTTCTAAAAACCATTTTATACAACATAATTTTTAAAAATATTTAAAAAGTAAGAATAATACATATTATTCATAAACTCAATTGTGACAAATAATGAAAAAAAAAAAAATGTTTAGGCACACTTCAATAATGATGAATAACGATCAACTAAATTGTCACGTTCTGTTTTAACATTGCAATCAATGTTAAGTCCACCAGTCAAACATTTCATACTATATGTCAAAAAGCTGTAAATAAAATAAATAATTGTAATGAAATAAAAATATGAATTTTTAATTAATTTTTTTAAACCAATAAATAAAATATAACACAACTTACGAGCATTGTTTTTTTGAATGAGTCATTGCAAGTATATAAAAGAGATCATTAGATTCATTTTTATCTTTAATTAAATCGTTAGTGAAACAGTTGTACAGTTCGAAATTGTTGCTCAAACAGTGTTTATTTTTAATGCCAAATTGTACTGAAAAAATTGATATTTCAATAAATTATTATTTATACAAACATTTACAATTTGAATACCGTTTGATTTTATTTGTTTCATCTAATTTTGATGCAACAAGAAAATCGCATATAATACACTTAGAGACTTTTTGTTTGGAAATTTAATACAATACCCAGCGATTAATATTCCTGAATACTTTTGAATTAAATTGGAATTAGAACCGAAACACTCTGGAATTGGTCCAGTTAAGTCCGAAATTTCCCCGATTCGTGTAACTAGTGAATTCGGACTTAATTAAATCTAAACCGAACTCAGTCCGATCAAACGTAAGTACTATAGCAATACGATTTTAAGTTGATTAAAAACAATAATCTGAAATGAATCCAAAACAATCCGGAACATTACAGCCAACCGGGGCTATTCTACTCATCCAGGGGCAATTATACTCAACCAGGGGCTATTATACTCAGCACCAGTTTTTAATTAATAAAATAATTATATATTAAAATGTTTATACTTGACGTTTGAATACTTCGGGTTCAGCAGACCCGTTGTGCCATTTATGTTCGAACGCAGAATTGTGCGGGTTAACTTTCAAATTTGTTTGTTATAGAAAATTTTTATTTAAAAATTATACAAAAAAAAAAACTGAAAATTAGCGGATTTTGACTAAAATCACGAAAAATACAGGTTTTTTGCGGAAGCCATTTCTCGGTTAACTTTTTAGCTATAGGGTTGAATTTTTTTTAAATTATTCGAAATTTTACACTAAAACGTCAATCGAGAACAGACGAATGTGTAGTACTGCTCTCGATTGACGCGATTTTTATCGCTCGAAAATAAAAACACTCAGGGCCGCCGTATGAAGTGCCTTACGCAACAATGTGAATTTTATCTAGGGGATTTTCACTAGTGGGGCACTGAATCCACCTTAAGGGTACGGTCACACTATCTCATACATGCACTGTGCATGCATGCAGAAACATTTGGCCGGTCACACTTCAATGAAATCTAGTGAATGTTTAGTAACTTTCTAGTAATTTTCCAAAAAATTTCAGTTGTAACTAGAAACTCACTAAACATTCACTAGATTTCGTTGAAGTGTGACCGGCCAAATATTTCTGCATGCATGCACAGTGCATGCATGAGATAGCGTGATCGCACCCTAACATTCAGACATAGTGGCGAAAAATGGTACTACTGAACGTAGGATAAAATGCTAAGCTACACCCCCCTAGCGGACATCCCAATATACTTTTTTTCATAATAACTATTTTTACGCTTAAATGTATAATGGATTAATTTAGAAAATTCTGTTTTTCCTCACTTTGAAATAGCACGATATTAAACTTTGGTATAAAAAATTCTAATATTTGAAACACAAAGTCTCTGAATGTAATGCATTTGATCGAATTAAAAATTTTGCATAAAATTCATAATTCAGTAATTTTTTTTTTAAAAGTATATAAACCTCATGTTAATAATAATATTATAAATAATTTAAAATGAACTATATTTTAAAATTCTTACCAATATCTAAGTGAGCGCATAATTTTTCTGTGATGTCTTTATAAATTGTTGTCAATTCATCGCTATTTGGCTTATTGTTTTCGTCCAAGCAAGGCAATATTTTACTAACTAATTTTACAATTGATTTTTGAATTTTATCATCATTACAATTGTTAGAAGCTTCAAGAATTTCATTTGCTAAACTGCGTGCATCAATTAAAGCTGCATTATTGTCTTTACAAAATTGACTGAATTCAGTCAAATTGAAACTGCTAAATGGCTTTTTCTCTGCTGTTGTAAACGAAACATAGCCTGTAAATGATAAAAGTAATTATCACAGTTTCATACATAGTTTTTCTTTTTTTGAAAAATGTTATTATTTATTATAATAAAATGATTATAATAATATTAAATTTTTATTTAACAAAATTTTATTTTACATGCTTTCTCATTGTCCAACTGTTTATATATAAATGAATTCTAATTTAATCCAATTTTATTAATTTAGCAGAATTCTTATTCATTATAATTTTTAGTGAGACAATTTTTTAAATGCAAGAATTTCTTTAATTTGATAAATTTTGATTTCAAAGAATTTTTATTTGACGAATTGTTATTTGATAAAATTCTTAAAACGCATAATTTTCATTTGACCAAAGTTAAAAATGACCGAACAAAAAACAGACATAAAAGATTTAGCGTGAATTTTAAAATTAACCAATCAGATAATATCAAGAAAATTGTGATTGGTCGATTTTGAAATTCGCGCGAAATTTTTTTGCCCATTAGTAATTTCGGTTAAATCAAATTTATGCGATTTATAAATTTTATATCAAATAAAAATTCTTTGAAATAAAGATTCCGCGAATTAGAAATTTTTACATTTAAAAAATCGACTCACTTAAAATTATGTTGAATAAGAATTCTGTTAAATTAAAATTGGATTAAATTAGAAATTTTTTAAATAAACAGTTGAGTAAAGAAAAATAATAAAAAATTTAATTCTGTTAAAAAATAATTTAAAAAATAATTTTAAACTACAAATTCTGTTTAATAAACATTTTATTAATAGGAAATTCTTTTAAATGATATTTAGAAAAATTAAAATTGGTCTAAAAGAATATTCTATTTAATAAAATTCTTTGAAATGAAAATTGTAAGTAATTTAATATATATAGGATATTCCTACGCTCCAAATTTGTATTCTTTAGTGGATTTTATAAAAATTTCATTTTTTTTTTTTAAATAAAATTTATTTATTCAGCAAACGTATAGGTTTTGAAATACATGAGCAATAAATCTAATCAACAACCGTGCTGCGATACCATTATTTATTATTTAATAACAAAATACTAGAAAATAAAAATTTGTAAAAAAAATGTAAAAAAAATTCTAAAATGACTAAATATTATTTTTCTTCAATTTTTTTGGAATCAAATATGGTTTTTAAATTCTAATAAATAATAAAAAAGAAATTAAAACTTAAATTAAACCTCCTCAGAAAACTTAATTTTTGATTTTTAAAAATATTTATTTTTACAAAAACAAAAAATTCTAAAATTGTTAAAAATAGTTTTTTTTTTAATTTTGTAATATTTCCAATATAATTTTTATACACTTACCACTGACGAAAACAACGAACAAAACTATTTTCCAATACATCATGTTTAAAAAATTTTTTTTTTTTTTTATTTAGAATCAATTTTGATGAACTTGTAAACGTATAACGCTAGTTAGGAGAAAAATAATGAGAATTTTATTAAATTCTATCTTTTTATATACACAGATAGATAATACAATATATATTTTAAAGATAAAGTTTGTTAAGTAAATAATTTATTATAAATTATATTTTTTAAATTTATTATACATGTCTGTATAAAACTAGGAGTTCAATTCGTTTAATACTGTGAAAAATTGTTTTATATTGACAGAGCTAGAATTTTTTAATGTCAAATAGAAAATCAAATATTTTATCAAATGTTAAATTAATATATTCACAAGAGCTGTGCAACTTATTAGCATAATTCATTTGAATTATTGATAAAATATAAAAAATTTTAAATTCTTAAGAATTTTTACCGTTAAATATTTTAGTAAAATTTTATTTCAATTTATAAAATTTTTCAAAAAATTATTATTTTAATTATATTTTTTTTGACAAATTTTTTTTTTTTAAACAAACTCCAACTTAATTGAAATAATTTAAAAAAAAGTCTTTAACAAATAATTCAAATTTCTTATTACAAAAAAAATCAATTTAAAAGTTATTAATAAATAAAAAATTTTAAGAAAATAGATTAAGAAGCAATGAAGCGGAAAATAATTAGTACAATCGAGGCATGAAATAATTGAAAGAAAAGTTATTACATAATGACGATTGAGAGTTCGTGCAGCAATAATAGAAAAATGCTTCTTCATTATGATGCAACAATTTACAAGTAGTAGAATTGCTACCAAAATAATATATATATATAGATATATATTATTAATACAATCATAAAATTGCAAAATATCTTTTACTTATTGTATCATCCAAGATTCGCAAAAAAAGATTCAGTTTGTGCAACGTTAATTAAAACCCCAATTAACTTGGTAAACTAAATATCTAAAACTATAATTAAATTATTATTCTATTACACAAATTATATTTTTATTTCTCTTCAATATTTATATAAATATTTATATTTAATTAAAATTCGTCAAAATGGAAAACTTATAAAAAAGAGATGATGAAATTCAAATGTAAAATTGAATAATATAGAGAATCATAAAGTTCGATTGTATTTAAAATTGAACGTGTAAAAATTTACAATAATCAAAATTAGAAAAATATTTAATCCTTATAGAGAGGAGAAACAATATGTTTCCAATTTGGGACTTAATTATTTAGGATTTGGGATTTAAAATTTAAATTTAGAACTTATAAAAAAAGAAATTTATTGTCTTTTTAATACACCTTTAATATGTCACTGTTTAACTTATCTTCTTTTTAAATTCGTGATATTTGACAGGAAATAAGAATAAATAAAAAAAATTTTACGATAGGTAGATTGAATTTTTTCAAATCTAACAACAAATTATTTTCAAGTATATTTTTACAATTTTAAAATTTTCCGATTTTCTTAAAAATTGTTCTTGCTCATTATCCTGCATGTTTTTTTAAATTCAAAAAAAAATTTTAAGCATATTTTTTATTGACTATCAAGTTTTGTCAATTTTTTTATTATATATCTTAATCTAAAAGGAAAATACATTTTCCACTTTACTTTATCGATGATTTTTATTATTACAGAAAATAGATAAAAAATAATTAAAATTCATAAAAATATATTAGTATGTAATAATTTGAAATTCTTTAAAATGTAAACGCTGATTATTATTGATGAGTAAATTTAGACGATTTAAAAATTTTCTGATATATACTTGATTGTCAAATTTAAAAAAAAATTTCATGATTCAAATATAGTATAATTTAAATTCCAACAAAATGAAACAAGAAAAAATATTCCTTTTTATTTTATTAACATTTTAAACTAAGATATTTTAAATAACTAAAGTGACCACCAAAACATCTTATATTAAGATACTTCTTTTTGCAGTGATAACATGACAATTTGCAGTCAAAATAAATTCTTATGTTTTATATGATTTGTGTGATGTATTTCACAAAAAATTATTATAATTACAGCAACCTGAAAACTTATTCGAATTGCATGTGGGAGTTAATGCCTAAGGACTGTGATTATAAAGCTAAGGAACTCATAAAAATTGGAGACAATCATTTATTCCTTAGCACGAATTGTTAACCAGAGAAAAAACCATTCAAAAGTATAACATTGACTGAATTGAAGCAATTATGCAAGCAGCAAAATATAAGATATGAATTATTAGAAAGAGCACAAAGTTTAGCAGATATACTTTTTCATAATGGTTGTCATCATTCTGATAACCAACATTTAATTATAGATATAGTTAATGAAATACTTCCTTGTTTTCACAATGAAAATAGACCAAACGAAACCGAATTAGAAACAATTTACAAAGATATTGCAGCAAGAGCATGCCATGCCTCCAAATTAGGTAATTATATAAACTGATTTATCAAAAGTAAATGGTCTTTTAGGGTGTTAGAAATAATATCCCATTAATTTTAAGTCGAAAAAAAACATGGAACTATTTTTAAAAAATAATTTTCGACGGAAAGATACATTGCATAGTACGAAAATTTCATATGCGATTAAAAAAAGAATTCACAAATCACTACCATGGGTATTGATTGTATCAACCTTAGCTTTACTTTGAAAATTTTGTAATCCGTTATGTTGGGTCTGCCATTTTAAATTTTGAAAATCTGACTTCATATTCGTAATCACAATTTTCTTGTGTGTATCAAATTGATACAAGAATTAAGATCAACTCATGCAACGTTTTGATTCGATATAAGGTATCAAATTGATCCAAATATTTGGATCATTTTCAAGAAATGATCCAGAATATGGGATCATTTTTTGATAACTGAATTGGTATCAAAGTATAACTGTCATGGCTGGCATGCTCTTATTGACAAGTTTATTAATTAATTTATTCACTGCACTGAATATTCAAATATTAAAAATACTTTTATTATGAATTTTAAGAAAGAGAGAAGCGAAAACTTATAAATTGCGAGCAATTAAATAAGAAAAAATTTATTTCGAAATAAAATGAAATACACTAACCTTTATTTATGTTTATCACATAAGATTTAAGTTCAGTTCACAATCACAATACTTGAAAATTTTTAATTATTTTTGTGGTTCAAATAATTATCAATAATTTATTTATTATAAATGAACAAAATTTAAGTAATGCACGCTTGATAAATATTTCTAATGCGTTGTCAATTAATAATTTCCTATTACACAATATCATAATCGACATATATGACATTTGTAAACAAACAGGGTTGGGAAACAAGAGCCCAAAATATATTCGTCCAAAGGGAATTTCAATCCTACCCAACTCTGCTTTGGACGAATATATTTTGGGCTCTTGTTTCCCAACCCTGTTTGTTTACAAATGTCAATGTCGATTATGATATTGTGTAATAGGAAATTATTAATTGACAACGCATTAGAAATATTTATCAAGCGTGCATTACTTAAATTTTGTTCATTTATAATAAATAAATTATTGATAATTATTTGAACCACAAAAATAATTAAAAATTTTCAAGTATTGTGATCGTGAACTTAACTTAAATCTTATGTGATAAACATAAATAAAGGTTAGTGTATTTCATTTTATTTCGAAATAAATTTTTTCTTATTTAATTGCTCGCAATTTATAAGTTTTCGCTTCTCTCTTTCTTAAAATTCATAATAAAAGTATTTTTAATATCTGAACCCACACAGCACCGAAAGTTTCCTAAACCTGTATTAAAGCTGTGCGTGCCAAGTTGGAAAAATTTACCGTAAAGCTTAGCACAGGTTGTGTAAATATGTAAATGTCCGCAATTGAGTAAATGTTTAGCGTAAAACTGTACTGAATCTTTAAATTACGTATTTAGTACAGGTTTAGCGTAAAACTGTACTGAATCTTTAAATTACATATTTGGTACAGGTTTAGCGTAAAACTGTACTGAATCTTTAAATTACATATTTGGTACAGGTTTAGCGTAAAACTGTACTGAATCTTTAAATTACATATTTGGTACAGGTTTAGCGTAAAACTGTACTGAATATTTAAATTACATATTTGGTACAGGTTTAGCGTAAAAGTTGCCTGAACATTTAAAATAAATCTTTTGTAAAGTTTTATCATAAAATTTGCTTAAAAATTAAAATTAAATCTTTATTACAGTTTTAGTGTAGAAATTGTCTATAAATTTAAATTAAAGCTTGATTAAATATTTAGTGCGAAATTAAACTACAAAAGTGTTCATTACATTTTCGTTAAATTTTTGATATTGAGAAATTGTTAACTGTAAATGATGCAGACAATTGAAATAAACAAAAAAATAACTAATTAGAAAAGGTATAATTAAATGAAACTTCAAATACAGTGTACACAAATATATTTATTAAAATTTTGCATTTTCCAAAACAATTATACAAACAAATTTAAATTTGTTTGTATAATTGTTATAGATTGTTATTATTGTTATTAATTGTTATTATTTATAGACAATTTCTACACTAAAACTGTAATAAAGATTTAATTTTAATTTTTAAGCAAATTTTATGATAAAACTTTACAAAAGATTTATTTTAAATGTTCAGGCAACTTTTACGCTAAACCTGTACCAAATATGTAATTTAAATATTCAGTACAGTTTTACGCTAAACATTTACTCAATTGCGGACATTTACATATTTACACAACCTGTGCTAAGCTTTACGGTAAATTTTTCCAACTTGGCACGCACAGCTTTAATACAGGTTTAGGAAACTTTCGGTGCTGTGTGGGAATATTCAGTGCAGTAAATAAATTAATTAATAAACTTGTCAATAAGAGCATGCCAGCCATGACAGTTTTACTTTGATACCAATTCAGGTATCAAAAAATGATCCCATATTCTGGATCATTTCTTGAAAATGATTCAAATATTTGGATCAATTTGATACCTTATATCGAATCAAAACGTTGCATTCCAAAATGATACCATCAAGTTTACAGTGATAAGCAACCCCAAAAACCCCTCAGTAACCATTTATTTGCATATTTTAAAGTAGGAAAACTGGTGATGCCTTGTCCAGTTTCCTCTTTAAATCTAACGAACTTCCTATGTGGGGTTTCATCATGCAA